GGGGGGAGCTGGGGTCCCTGCGGGGCGTTGATGATCTCATGGGGGGGATTTGGGGGGTATTTGGGGGTCTGTGGGGTTGTTTTGGGGTGTTTGCAGGTGGTTGGGGGTATTTGGGGGTCCCTGGGGAGATTGGGGGGTTAACTTGAAGGTTATTTGAAGGCATTGTATTGGGGAGATCTGGGGTATTTGAGGGTTCCTGGGGGGATTTGGGGGTCCCTGAAATGGGATTGGAGGTCCCTGGGGGTGTTTGGGGGTGCCTGTGTTGCACTGGGGGGAATCTGGGTGATTTGGGGGTCCTGGGGAGTGTTTCGGGTTCCTGAAGGAGGGTTGGGGGTCCCTGGGGTGGCTGGGGGTCCCTGTGTTGCATTGGGGGGTTTTGGGGTCCCCAGGAAGCCGCCGCCCCCCTGCGCACCCAGGTCGACCTCGGCTGCAACTTCTTCGTTACTGCAGAAGTGTGAGTTGGAGCGGATCCCAAAAACCCCCTGAGTGACCCAATCCCCCCCCCCAGGGTAACCATGGGATGCTTCAGGATCCCAACCTCCCCCTGGGACCTGCAGAGGAACCCAGGACTCCTCTGGGACCCCCGTGTTCCCCCTGAGACGCCCTCAATCCCCAGGGACTCCATAAGCCTGGTGGGACTTCCCCAAGGACCCCAAAACCACCCTGGGAATCCCCCTGGGAGCCCACTGGGAACCCCTTGAGATTCCATAACTTCCTCCGGACAGCCCCTGTGAACCCCATGGGCCTCCACAATCCCTGTGGCACCCCATAAACCCTCCAAGGACCCCCATAGCCCCCCCCAAAACCCCCCTTTTCCCCCCAGCCCGGACCCGCAGCGTGTGTTTGTGGCCCTGGGCTACGGGTTCTACGCGGAGCTGACGCTGCCCGAGGCCCTTCGGCACCTGGAGCGCCGCAGCCGCCTCCTGCAGCGGTGAGACCCTCTGGACACGTGCTGGGCACACCCCGGGACACAACCCTAGGCCCTGGAGAAGCCCCCTGGACACACCCCCTGACACACCCCTGGGCCCTGGACACACCCTCTGGACACACTCCTTGAACACTTGCCACACCCCAGCCTTGGCCACGCCCCCATTTGGGCCACGCCCCCAGCAGGCTCTTGGCCCTCCACGCCTGGAGTTGTTGGGTGGTTACAGAAGGTTCACAAGCCCCTCCCCCCCCAGCTTTGTCAAGACTCCACCCAAAAAAGGCCATGCCCCATCAAAGACCACGCCCTCTCAGCATGCCCCGCCCCCTGTTCCATCTGCCTGGGGATGGGTGGGGTGGGAGGGAGCAGTGCCCATCCCAATAAGCCCCACCCCCTTCCTGGACCACACCCCCTTCAGGCCACACCCCCTTTGCCCACAGCTGTGGCCACAGGAAGCTCCTGGTGGATAAACCACGCCCCCTTCAGCCCCGCCCACCCTGCCCAGGCCACGCCCCTCACCATAAGAGGAGACCAGGTCTTTGCCCCATGACCAAAAAATAGGGAGTGTGACCCCGCCTCCTCCATGTGGGAGGCTCCACCCCCTCCTGAGGCTCCACCCCTCCCGCAGGCTCAGTGACTCCCTGACCCGGGATGGGGCCAAGATCCGGGCGCACATCCGGCTGGTGCTGGAGGTAACACCCCCCAACCCCCTCCTTTCCCCTTGGCCCCGCCCCTCCGCCTCCTGACCCCGCCCCTCCACCTCCTGACCCCGCCCACCCCAACGCTCTGCCCCCCCAGGGCCTGCGGGAGCTCCAGGGGCTCCAGGATCCCCCCGCCACCTCCGAGCCCTGATGGACACCCGGGCCCTCCTCTCACCCATGTATCGTGTGTGTAAACCTGGAGTAAAGAGCTTTTTGTAACCCTGGAGTGATGTGTGTAAACATCGGGTAAAGGCTTGTGCCTTCGAGGAGGAACGTGGAGTAGTTTGTGAGTAAACAGTGAGGCACCTGTCAGCAACCCCGGCAGGGTCCTGTTAGTAACCCTGGAGTAACCTGGACTACCCAACATGCAACACTGGCATGATCTCTGAGTAACCCAGAGCAGGAGCTCAGCAGCGCTGGAGAGGTTTTGAATAACCCAGGAGCAACCTCAGAGTAATCCCAGTGGAACTGCAGGGCACTCCTGGAGTAACCTATGGGCAAACTTTGAGTAGCCTCAGCACAAGACCTGAGTAACCTCAGGGTACCACTGGAGTATCCTGTTATTGACACTGGACCAACCTCGGAGGAGTTGTTGGAGCCCCCATGAGTAACGCCGGAGTAATCTCAAAGCACCCCTGGCCTGTTAGTGACTGTGGAATAAATAACGAGTAACCCCAAAGTCTGGTCTCCTTCACCCCCCAAAAAAAGGGGTGGAGCATCTTTGGGGGTGTCCCCGCCCCCTCCAGCCCAAGGGGAGGGGGGGCAGGACGAGGGGTTCCTATTGGATGTTTGGGAGTGGGGGAGGAGCCCGAACGCGGCGTGGGGGGTGAGGGGCGGCTGGACCTCGGGGTGGAGGGGGGCGGGAGAAGGGAGCAGATGGAAACGGGGGGGGGGCGGGGGGGCGCCTGGCCGGGCCTGACGACATTGGGGCTGGCGGAGAGGGAGACCCGCGATCCGGGAGCTCCCCCAGCCCCCCCAGCAGGGATCCCCCCCCTCCCTCCCGCGGCGGGGCACTTTGGGGGGGTCCCGGCCCCGAGGAGTCCTTGGGGGGGGCTCCAAAGACCCCCCCCGGGCCCCCGCGCCCCCTCCCCTCAGTGCGGGGGGCGTGTCCTCACCAAGCCACGCCCCCGCAAGGCTCCTAAATGGCTCCGCCCCTCTCGTGACGTCACCCGGTCCCGCCCCCGCCGCCATCTTGCGCCGCCGCCGCCGCCGCTCCCGCCGCTCCCGCCCGGCCCGGCCCGGCCCGGCCCCCCCCGGAGCCGCCCGCGGGGTCGGGCCCGGCCCCGCCATGGCCGAGGATTTCTGGGAGGCCCCGCGCCGCTGAGCCGGTAACGGGGGAACCCCTCAGGAGCCCCTCAGGGAGCCCCCCCGGGACCCCGCGGCCCGGCCCCCCCTCTGTGAAGGCAGAGGGGGGGGGAGGAAGGGAGGAGGCCACGCCCCCTTTGGCCACGCGCGCCGGGGCGGGGGGCGCGGGGGGACCCTGGAATTGGGGGGGGCCGGGCAGTTTGGGGAGGGGGACTCAGCCTTGGAAGGATCCTGGTTTGCGGGGCCTCAGGTGGGTCCGGGTGTGCGGGGAGTGCCCGGGCGTGCGGGGTGCTCCAGGTGTGCGGGGGGGGCCCAGGTGTGCGGAGGGGACCCGGGTGTGCAGGGGGGACAAAGGTGTCGCCGCCCAGGGCTCGGCCATGGACCGGATGAAGAAGATCAAGCGGCAGCTGTCGATGACGCTGCGGGGGGGCCGCGCCCCCGAGAAGGGTCTGGGGGACCCCCGCGACGGCCACGGCAGCGACAGCGGTGAGCGCTGGCCCTTTAAGGGGGGCCCCGCCCCCTTTGAGGGAACCCCGCCCCTCTAAAGGGAGGCCTGGCCCTTTAAGAGGGACAGGACATGGGTTGGGGGTGCCTGGCCCTTTAAGAGCTTTTTTGAGAGGAGGGGGGGAGACTGAGGAGGTGCTTGGCCCTTTAAGAGAGCGTCTGTCCCTTTAAGGCGGCGGGTCAGGGGTTGGAGGTTTCTGGCCCTTTAAGTCACCCCCGGCGGGGCGCGGCCCCTTTAAGAGCTCTGGGGTCCCTTCTGTGCCCCCCCCTTCACCCCCCGGGTCCTTCCGCCGTCCATCTGTCCCCAGGACCCCCCCTTGTCCATCCATCTGTTCCCATATCCTGTCCCCTGCCCGCCCCCGGTGTCACCACCTGTCCCCGGCCCTCCCTGCCTTGTGTCCCCGTGTCACCCCCCCAAACTTGTTCCCCAGGTCCCCCCTGTACCCCTGTCCCGGGAGGAGGGGACGCAGAATTGGGGGTCCCCGGGGAACTTGTGGGAGGGATGGAGGGACCTCTGGGGGCTTTAGGGGGGGTTCGGGAGGGTCCTGGGGATCTTTGGGGGTCCCTTGGGGCTTGGGGGAGTCCCGGGGCTTTGGTGGGCAGACTCTTGGGATTCAGGGAGACGGGGGTCCCTGAGTGGGGACTTTGGGAGGGCTTGGGGACACAGGGGGATCCGGGCGGGGGGGGATCCCTTGAATTTGAGGGGGTTCTGAGGTTTTGGGGGGGGTCTCAGGAGGGTTCAGGGATCCCGTGGGGGGTTTCGGGGGGGCCCTGATGTCCCCCTTGCCCCCCAGAGGCAGGGGGGGAGGAGGGGCGAATGGGATCGGACGGGGAGAGTGACCCCCCCTCGGGGACATCCTCGGAGGAGGTGGCATCGCCCGTGCGCCTGCGCCAGCACCCGCGGCCCAGTGCCTGCGAGGTGGGACTGGGGGGACTGGAAGCACTGGGGGCACTGGAGAGCACTGGGGGGCACTGGGGGACTCTGGGGGGACTGGGGACACTGGGGGGACTACTCGGGACTGGGAGGCACTGGAAGCACTGGGGGGACTGGTGGCTCTGGGGGCACTGGAAGCACTGCAGGGATAGGGAAGCACTGGGAAGAATGGGGGG